ATTAACATAATTCATCAGCAATGAAGCAATCCCAACTCAATTAACCAACAGTACGAGCACAAAAAATCCAAAAGCAATCGAGGACCTCAATTCGTAAACAAATGGCAAATAATAGCATCAAGATCAAAACCTAGCCAAAATAGAGGAACAGAGACAAGCAATTATCCAAAAAATACATTCTGCTAGCAACAAATTTCCAAAAATAAGAGCAACCCCTAGAAACAAAAATCTAAACCCATACATAGCCAGTAAACCCATACCCAATAAACCAACAGGAAAAACCAATTACCCAGAATCAAAACTCTAACGAACAAAAAGTTGCCAAGAATCAATTACCTAGAAAACCCTAAAGCCAATTTCAACCCACAAGCACACACAAAGAAAATATAGATGCATTCAAAAGCAAATTTTTAGGTTTCGTTTTAGTTGTTATTTTATTTTACGGGATATCAAGACTAGAAGAAAGAAAGAAGGAAGTGGAAAGGTTTCTTTCTTTTTTTTTTTTTGAAATTGCTAGCAATGAAAACAAAAAAGGCAGTGGTCTAGGTTGTGGGTTTTTTGTTCAAATTTTTAGTGAAAAAGAGAGGGAAAAGAATTTGAAGAGGAACTTTTAGGCAAAAAAGGGAAAAAAAAAATGACAGCCATTAAAAGAAAATTGACGATGATGCATGGCTCTAATGGAAGTTGGCCAAAGTCTGAAATTTTGGGAGGCTATCTAAAAAAGAAAAAAAAAAGGAAGAAGAAAGTTTGCTAGTGAGATCGATGGTCGGAAGTAGCAAATAATGGTGTAACTTGTAGACATTGATTTCTAGGTAGTTGGGTATTTTTTCTTGATAGAAGCTTGAAGAGAGCTGAAAAATCTAAAATATAGAAAGGGAAGCAAGAAAGAGAAGAAAGAAACTGATTTTAGGGTTAGAAACCAAACAGTGCCGTTTTACACCAAAGGAATTTAAGTTCAACCTGTGCTTCCATCCCTTGACCCGACTCACAAGGTTTTTTTTTTTTAATTCAAACTTTTATTTTGTTTGATTATTTTTTCATGATGTTTTTTATGGATCTTATTATTTGTATGAATTATTTTTGCATAAATATATAATTGATAATATTTGCATGATTACTAATATATTTGAATGATCATTAATATATTACATGATTGCATTATTATTAATATTTATTATTTCCATGATTACCTAATATTTTATTTGTGTGATTTATATTTGTATGATTAATAATATTTTTGTACAATTTATAGTATATTTGCATGATTAATATTATATTTGCATGGTTAATCTATTCGCATGGTAATTAATATTTTACATGATAGTATATATTATTGCATGATATTTATGCATGGATATTTTTGTGTGATCTTGGCATGATTTTATGTTTCATTGCATGATATCTTGGCATGATTTTTTATATTATATTTATTGCATGGTACTATATTGCATGATTTATTACATAATATTTTATTGTATGATTTATTGCATGGTATGATTTATTGCATGATTTATTGCATGGTATGATTTTATATTTATTGTATTCTTGCATGATATTTTTTGTATGATTTTGGATAGGATTTTTATTGCATGATTTCATGATTTGATTTTTGATAGAATTTTTGTATGACCATGTGGTGTGTAAATAAATAAAAGGATTGGAATTGATTTTGGTTTGCATGATAAAACCATTTTTTATTAGGGTTTAGGTAAGATAACACATAATTGACTTGGTACCAATTTTTGGTGTAAAGGAATGCTAATACCTTCTCTGCACGTAATTAACTCCTGAACCGTAATTCTATTGATGTAGACCATCACCTATTCTTTTAAGGGACCCTTAGCTTAAGCTTAAGACAACCTTAAAAGAGATAAATTCACTTAGGTGGCTATGCACACCTAAGTAAAAAAGATTGGTGACGACTCTATGATTTTTGTGTCTAATAGGTAGGTTTTTCCAACCTAAGTGTTATGACACTAATAAGGAAAAAGTCTATTTTACCATTTAACCTAAATATACCCTTAACACGTATCTCAAGTCATAGTTCAAGAAAATGATCTTGCTCTAATCACACATCATAATTTGTTTCTACCATCAAGAAAATTTTATCTTTATCATCAATCATTAAAGTAGTTTAACTTGAATAGGATTTATTAAGATAATATGTCACTGCTCTATTTCTCTTCTCCATGTAAGCTCCAACTTCTTCCTCTATTTTTTCCTCCCCTTAATTAAGCTCACCCTCTACCATTCCTTGCTCTATTTTCTATCATAATTTAAGTCAAGTTGAAATTGAGACAACAATTATAGGAGACAAAAACAAACTTGAGGTAGGGCAAGAAGAGTTAGACATAAACAAACATACGAGGAATTTTTTTTAAATATATGAGGAATATGTCTTCAAAATCATGTAAGAAGAAAGTTAAGTTTAACCAAAGATTGGAATATTTTGATTATATTAGAAAACTTTGAAAGTAATAAATAATAATAAAATATTTATTTATTGTGAATAATTTACAAATTAAATGGTTGACAAAATCAACTCAACATGAATAACCATGCAATGCTATTGACAACACATTCTAACTAGGCTATTAGACATATCTATACCTACATATAAAAGTAATCTCCTTGCAGATCAATTCTCAATTTCTCTATCATGTCAACAATTTTACTATTCATTTGAGGTATTGTTGATATTATTATAATTATTTAAGGATATTATCAGTATTTTGTAACTAAATATTGGACAAGAATAAAAATGGAGGATGAAAGGAACCATGACCACTACTGGTGGTGCTAAAGCCGAGCTCCACCATCTATAGAAGTGTCAGTGATAAAAACATAAACTAAAGTAAAAAAATTAATTTTTTTTGCATTTCAATAAAAATTCTCTAACATTATCAAACTCAATATCAAATAACCCAAAATAAAAAACATAAATCAAACTTAAATATAATAAAAAATAAACCAAAATTTTAAAAATTCTAAAACTTAGTATCAACTAACTAAAAATAAAAAACATATATCAAACTCAAATATAATAAAAAAATACGCCCAAAAAAAAAAATCCATTCACCCACTAAGACCTAAATCCTCCATAACATCCCACCCAAACACACACAATCTATAAAATCACACAAAAAAAAAAAAAGAGAAAAAACTACATCCCTTGGGAATGGGAGAAACAGTGACAAAAAAAAAAAACCAAAAGAAAAAAGTTTGAGGTTTGAGGTTGTTTTGGGGTTTGACCTTTAGACAAGAGAAAGGTCAGGACCAGATAAAGAACGTAGTTGGACTTTGTGACTTATGGAGTGACGAAAATGGGTGTTTAAAGGGTTGGAAACCCCAACCTTTGGCTCAAATTTAGGGCTTTATGACTAGTTTTAGCAAAAACTAAGATTAGAAATAGAAAAAGATGAGTAAAAAGGGTTAGCAATAAGTTTTTTAGTCAAAAACATTTTTTTTGGTTGGAGAAGAATGAAGAAAAACTAAAGGAAAAAAAAAGAAAAAAGCAATATTGGAGAAAAGTGGAAAAGAAAAAGAATAAGAAAAACTTAGGGTATTGATTTTAAATAATGTAGTTTATTCTATAAAAAAAAAAGAAAGAAAAAAAAGTTGTTTTGACAATTAAAAATAATTTGGCTCAAAGTTCAAAAATAAACTTAAAGACAAAGGATTTTAATCCTAACACAACCTACTCTAAAGTATAAAAGTTTTTATTTATTTTTCAATTATTAAATGAAATCAAAACTTTAAGAAAATATATTAATAATAAACAAAGAAATGTAAAAATACAATAAAAAATTAAAATGTTTAAAAATCAAATTGAAAATTTTTATAAAATTTTATAATTGTTTCTTGCTTTTTACTTAAAGGTATTTTTAAAAACGAAAAAAAAAAAGCCTGACATAAAATTCAAATCCTATTAAACTTGATTTTCTTAATTAAAAGTTTTAACTCAATTTTTATAGATATTTTCTAAAAATATTATGATTTCAAATGATTTAAAAGATTGAAAGAATATAAATGTCTCAATTATGGTTTTTTTTTTTTTATGGATATCAATATTCAAATCTTTGAATAAAAGAGATCCGTAGATTCAAGTTTATATTTTTTAAAATAAAATAGTATCACCCTAATAGTTTTCATAAAAAAAAGTTAGAAAAAAAAAGGAAGGAAAAGCGGAAAATAGAACAAAACAATAATTGAGATTTTTTCATTTTCTCTCTTATAATCTTTCCTTTAATTATCAATCATGAAAAAATAATTACAAAACTAAAAAATAAAAAATCAATAATTAATAATTACCAATAAATTAATGATAACCATAATAATAATAATATAATTAATTTACCATCAAGTAGGATAAATCCCAATTAATTGTTAAGAAAAGAAAAGTTCAAATCATAAAAATTTTTATGTAATATTAATAAAAAAAATAAAAGATTAAAATCTTAAAAATATATAATAGTAATAATAAATAAAAATATAAAAATACATAAAAATGAAAATATAAATTGTTTCATTAAAAAATTATAATTTTTATACTATTCCTATTTTTCTTTGATTTTACCCAAAAATTGTAATATAGAACAAATTAGAAAGATGATGCAATTAATCAAATAATTTTAAAAAATATAATAATCTTTAAAAATACTAAAAGTCAACAACAAAAACAATAATTATAACATATTAAATATTAGATTTAATTTTTTAAAAACTTTTAACATTTTCATAATATTTCATTTGTATTATTTTTTGTTTTTATATTAAAATAAATAAAATAAAATAAATGGTGAAAACTGGTTAACCCGGCGTAGCGGGTATCAATGAAAAACGGTTTTTTTTTTTTGTAAACCAAAATTTATAGACAATTACTAAGAATTGTTTATTTCCCTAATTGACTAATTCTCTTCAAATTGAATAAATCATTTGGGCTCAAAATAACCCATAAACTACTCGTGAAGGACACCGTTTCCTTTGTAAGGTCTATTTCCTTTTTCTTTTGGACCAGATATACTTCTTCTTCACGTTTGTCGCTTTTTTTTTTTTTTTGGGATTTTTTGTTTGTTCTAGTCTCTTCGATCTCCGGCGAGGCAGCTCCACTGCAGTTTATCATAAAAGCTAAGTCTTTTTGTGTTCTGCAGCAATAAGAAAAAAAATCCAATGGAAGAGCCTCATTCAGTGAACAGTCCGAGGCGAATCCTTAGTTTTTCAAAAAGGAGAAAAACAACAACAGCATCTGTCTCATTTGTTGACCCCAATGATGAAAAAGCTAATTCTGGGTTTGGAGTTTCAGGGGAACACGGTCCTAAGCCTTCCGAGGTTTATGGGTTTGTTGGTTCCATTACAACTGTTGTTGCTACAGGTTTGTAATCTATCTTGTCCCCCTTTTCTATCGTTTCATTGTTTTCGTGGCAATGAGTTAGGTCCTATGATTATTTCTGATTCTTTTGATTGTAATTGGTTTTGTTTCTGGAAACATAAATAAAATACTGGTTAACTTTTATTACTTGTTTTTTTGTTAAAAAATGAACAAAATTAAACATATAGCGGTAAAACCGCAAAATTCAATTATATTGAAGTCAATGGCAAAGTTTAGTAAAATACTAGTAATAGAAATAACAATGAAATGGAGCTTCGGTTGGTGATTTATGGAAATGTGAGTTAGATTCTGAGAAGGAATTCTAGCATGTTCACAGGAAGAATTCTCCAATGAGGTTTCTAAGGAAGCATTAATATGTAAGTAGTAGTTTATGAGTTTGGTTTGATCCTGTCATCATTCTTGAATATTGTTTTTCCACGTGATACTTTGAGTATGCTTGGACATTCTTATATGGCCTGCGAAATCTTCGAAATTGTTGAAATTTTGTGCATGTAGAAGCACTTTGCTTTAATGGTGTTCCGGTGTTCTTATGTTGTTTGTTCATTGCCTGTAACCTGGTGAGCACGATGTTCTTTGTAGAATTTAGTGCACAATCTCATTTAAAACTTGATATTTTTAAAGCAATGTAATGAGGGATTTGTTGAAAGACCTAAAAATATCTCACAAATTTATGTATAATTTTTTTTTTTTTGGAGCAGCTATTTTCTTGATTTGGGCATATATTCCTGAGCATTGGTTACATTCAGTTGGGATTTTCTATTATCCTAGCAGGTCAGCGACAATTCCCATGCTAACTAAATTTTGGTTTCTTTTTGAAATCTTCTTACACACACTTCTCAATCTCAGTAAAAATGAATAAAATGATCTCAGACAAAGTGGCCTGCTTGAGGAGTACCTTTTTTACATATTTGGCTGGTTAGCATCTAAGGAATGATTGGAGGTCTAAAATTCTATTGAGAAAATGCTGAAGTTTAGGGCTTAGGATTTTATGGTAAAGAAAACAAAAGGGTAGATTGTAGGAAGCATTATCAGATCATTGCTCAATGGACATAAGCAAAAAAGGAAAGAATAAGGCAGGAGTGGAAGCAGGCAATCCACCTTAATGCTAGTTTAAAGAAGCTAAAGTAAACTCTGAATCATTGTCTCTGCTATGCTTTATTAAATTGAAAGTTAATATAGGTTTATATAGGCTCCTAAGAAGTCTGCACAAATCCTGCTATTCTTCAAACCCCATTTTCAATAGGGCAAGTCCTTAGGGAAACATTGGACTTCCTGATGTCCCACCCCTTGCTAATGCATGAACGTGCCTTTGAGCCAAAAACTCATAGTAATGATTGGTTCCACCTAATATGTTTAATTTCTACAAATGAGTGAAAATGAGGCTAGTTTGAATTGATAACTTCCGCTGGAAGCTCTGAGCATGGAGGGAAGTCCTTGAAATATCTTAGTATTTGTACCAGTTTTGGTATAATTTAAGTTGAAAGTTTGCTAATTTGAAAATATTCTCACTATGTTGATCTGTTCACTAAACTTCAAAATATCTAATCTCTGTTGACCTAAAAAGCCAGTGAAGTTTTGGTTGCAAGATGTTTATCAGTACTTGTTACTTAATGATTTTGATGTGAGTGATAGACAGCCATATATTTTTGGCTTTCAGATATTGGGCTGTGGCAGTTCCAACTTATGCTATGGTGATAATAATATTAGCTATTGGATTCTATGTTGGCCTCAACTTCATGTCAACCCCACCACCAACTTCATTAACTGCAATGTTTGGTAAGTTTTAACTTGCAATGTTCATGGGGTTTTCATCAGGACTAGAAGTATTTATAAACATTTCTCAGTTAAAGCTAACATAATATTCTTTAGTCAAGATATTTTCTTTAAATCCATTTCGACATTTTTTTGCATTTCCATTGGCCATTGCATGAGTGAATTTGTATATGCCTTTCTGCTTCTCTGTTTTATAGATGAATTTAGCAGAGAACCTTCAAGCCTTTTATCTTATATGGAGGGAGATGAGCAACCAATTGAGCCCATATCTGATCTTGGGATCAACAAGATTAATGCTCTCATGTTTGATGATGCTAAATGATACATCCAATGTCTATCCTCCCTCACCATTATTGGGCTTAGGGAAGCATTCATATTAGAGATTCAGTTTCTTTGGAAACTAGATTGGTTGTTCAGTTTTGAAGAAATCAGATTGCATGAATTTTGATTGTTTGAAAAAAAGGTACTGTGTGTCCTTTCATCAACGAGTGATTATGCTGAGATTGTGTAGGTATAAGAATCTATGCACATAGGGTTGTAAATTCAAGCATTGTATTGCAATTGTTTTGTAAGTCTATTGTTTAGGAATCACATATATTGAATTCTTGTGTAAAATTTTCTGCATGGTTCAGAATTATATATACCACATCTTACAGAAAATCTTTGTGCATGGTTTGGTTACTATAGGGCTTTCTTTTTTGTTAGGTACCTTAATTGAATTAGCATTTTATTTTTATGCTTTGGGCCATCAGACACTAGTCCAGTTTATATTCAGCCTATGCTTGTAATTAGCCCAGTAGTGGCAATTTAGTTATTCTGGTATTCTTGAGAGTCAGTTAAGGGTACAAAAGAGGTTGTTATGCTGGTAGCAAGGATATTGCGAAATGATGAATTGAATTGTCATCTTCTCTCTCAATTCCTTCCTCTTCTCTCTCTCTTCTGAGCTTCTCTTTTGTGGGAATTTCCAATCAGTTCCATTGGTATCAGAGCTGCATTTTTGGCATCTATGGCAAAGAATATAACTCATAGATTGCATAAGGAAGTAGCGTAGTTACAAGCAGAAGTCCAACAGATTGATAGAAGATAGATGATAAAAAAGGTGACCTTCGGAAGGAGATTAAGGAGGAGTTCAAGAACCTCTTTGATCTCTTGGTTGCTCGAGAAAAGATCAATCTGATGACAAGAAAAGGATCTTGGTTTGGTGCGAGGAGAATCATCTTCTGAGAATGCTAATCAAGTAAGATTTTCTTCCTCTGAAAACTCTTAGACAATTTAAGTTGAAGTGTCTTAAGTTTAATAGGGAAGATTTTAAAGAGTGGTTTATGAAACTTGAGCAATATTTTGTGGCTGAAAGAGTTCTTAAGAACTACAAAGTTGGAGCTGCTATGCTTAGTTTGGAAAGGAAAGCATTATAATGGCATCAACGTTATTGTAAGGTGCAAGAAGGGTTTGATAGGCTGGTTTGGGGGTCTTATATAGCTGAGATGCAAGATAGATTTATTCTTGAGCAATATAAAGATCCTATGGTTGAGTTGATGGGATTAAAACAATCCAGTACTGTAGAACAATATGTTACGGACCAAAATGGATTGGGTTGGACTTGGCTATTTTTATGATTACTGGACTTTGTTTCTTTATTCTACTGTAAGGCCTAAGTGGAGTGAGGTCATTTAACTTGCAAAAATTGTGTTGGTGTTGAAGAAAAGGGAAGAGAATTTTCAGGTTGTCATATGAGAATTCAGGGATGCAACTGTAGGGGGTGTGAGACCAAGATAAAACGGTAAAGGAATACTATACTGTGATTCGGTTATGCAATTATGGAATCTCTCTTTTCTTTCTACAACTCCCTTCTCTATTTCTTCTTCCTTTCAAGTCTCTCTGAATCTTTTTATTCTTATAACTTTCTGAAAATTTCTTCATTGCAATCCTTTAAAATTTGAGCTTGTAACACAATACCATGATGACTTTATGGGAATTCTCAACATGTTTCAGTTGAGTGATGAGTATGCTGTTCTTATAACCTCTAACAAAACAATTCTAGCATCTAAACTTCCCTTGACTGATACCAGTTCTTCTAGCCTCTCCTCTATTTAAATTGGGAATCATCACTGATTCTTTTTTATTGAGATGTGATTGGTCGCAAAATTAAAACTACCATTTGAAAGAAATCCTAAGTTCTATGAAGATTTCATAAAAAAATAGATTCAAGAGTACATTTATGTGTGTTGAAAAATTAACACCTCTACAAAATCTGTCCAAATACGATACCAATTAGCTTTGTTTAATCTTAAAATGGTCTTGATTGAATAATCTTTTGTTTTTAATTAAATTTAATTATTTAAATATTAAAAGTTTGTGTAAGATTTCTCTATCATTTTGGTAAAATATCTAAAACTGTTCTGCACCTCAAGTTTATTCAATGAAAACATTCGTTTCATTGAAAAGGTATTGTCATCGGATTGATGAAAACTATTATAATTTCATTCAAAAAAATTTCTTTTACATTTTAATTAAATTTTTTATTTTAAAAAATGCATCTAAAATTTTCATTGTTCTAGCAAAATTTAGAAAAAACCATATGTTTTTTACAAATTCATAAGAAAATTACTTATTCATAATTTCCTTTAGAATCCCATTGTTGATTAGTGATTATTCTTTTATTCCTATGATTTATTGAAACCTTATAAAAGTGAAATTTAACTCATTAATATTTATTTTTTTATATTTCTCTTACTTGAAAGTAAATGTAAATCATCGGTGTTAGAATCTTTCCTTCAAAATTTTCATCATTTTGATAAAATTTAAGCAGATTTTAACATGTAAGAACCTTTTATATAAATCACTTCTTCGCTATTTTTTATAATTCCATGATTAAGGTGGTTTTTAATATTCTTAAGCTTAAAAAGTTTTTGTCATTATTTATTAATTATTTATTAGTAATTATTCTTATTTTTATCCTTCACTAGTCTTTCATTTTGTGACCTTTGATATCAAATTTGATTCTTTTTTTTTTTTTTGAATTTTTCATAAGTTTGACAAAAATATTACACATTCGTAATTTGTCTAAAATTTATCATTGATTTTATCCTTAAAAAGGATCCTAAAATTGTTAGGCTTTCAATTATTTAATTATCTAATTCGATTATTTTAGTTTATTTTATTGTTGCAAAATATATATTATTAAAATTTTCTTTTAAATTTATTATCACTTTGATAGAATTTAAAATATTTTTATTAATCAGTCACACATTCACAATTATTCAAAAATTTACTGTTTGAAATATTATTTTTATCGTATAATTTTATTTATTTCTTTTATTATTTTTCTTAAAATTTGTTAAATTTTATGATAAAATTATTATTATATAAATAAATTTTAATTTAACGCTTTATTTAATAATTTTTATTATTATTTAAATAAATATCCTATACTCAAATAACTTTAAACATGCAAATATGAAATATAAAATATAAATATAAATAAAATAAAAACCAATAATTAATTAATTAATAAAAATACCAAAATGGCCTATCAAACCAATCAATGGGCTAGAAATCAGTTTAAAACGATTCAAGACGGTTTGGAGCGGCGTAGAGGCGGTTCAGGAATGGCTTGAGTGATTTTTTTGCGGTTCAACTCGGTTCACCACTGGGTTGGTCCAGTTTAACTGGACCAATTCGTGACTGGTTAGCTGTGGTTGGGAATGGGTCAGACACTGGATCCCGAGTCGGATCAAGTTCATGCGTGGATTCCAGCTTAATTTTTTTTAAGGCGATAAAAACCAAAAATATTTTTCTCACACTTTTCCTTCCTCTTTCTCTCTATATTCTCTCTCTAACGTTCTTTCCCTCCAACTGTTGGTAGACAACCCAAACTCAGAAACTAGCTAGTGGTTGCCGCGTCTACCGCCATCATCTGCTGTTAGCCGATGATCATCAGCGTCAGTTTGAACCTAAATTACACTAAAAAACTCCTCTTGATCCCCTCGTCACTATTTTGACCTCCGTTTAGCCTAAAATAACCCCGAACGGTCTAGATTTGAGTCTAAAACCGTTGGTCTTCCACCAAAAAAAAAATCCCTTCCACCGCTCGAAACAGTGCCGACTCTTATTATGTTTTTCCCCAAGGCCTAACTCTCATCCTTACCAAAAATTTAGCCATTAAACACCCTAAATCGCCTAAATCTCAAGTGATTTTTTTTTGCGCTACTATTCCCCTTTGGGGGGTATGTGGTTTTTTTTTGTTTCGATGTGTTATTTTGGCTGTGCTTGACAAGTTTGGACTAAGGGTGTTTGGGGTTTTAAATTTTTAAGGATAGTTGGTAGTTTCGGTGATGTGGGTAATGTTGGGTTTCTGCTGATTCGTTTGGCAGTGGTGGGTGGTAGTGTTGGTAGTCACGGTAATGATAGGGTTGAGGTAATGAGTTTGGGAGTTTACTTTTTCGGCCGAGTCTAATTGCATTGGCTTCCCCGTTCTTAATGCCTGATTGCCATCCTTTTATTCATGTATGAAGTCAGGTAAAGAGAAATGACAAACGAAAAACACAGATTCGAAAGTCATGGTGTAAAATTAGGAACATATGGGGAGAAGCAAAAATGGGGAGGTTGTGACCGACCAAGCTTTTATATTTTTTGCTTTTCTTTTTTTTTTTATGTTTAATTAATGATAATAATAAAAATATGTATAATAATTAAACAAATTATGGAATAAATATGATCAAAATGTCCGAATGAGTTCAAATCAAAATTACAAATGAATTGGAGATTCATTATAATTTATTCGAACAAAATTAGGTGTGTATGATTCCAACACAAAAGAAACCACCTAATCCAAATCTTTTTAACCTTAACTATCCCAGACCATCTGGTTCATTTCCAAGACCTAGCAACAGCCCTAACCAACCTAATGCTCAGAGAAGCGGTTCTAGGAGACTTTCACACCAGCTGAAATGGAAGAGAAAAAGAAAAAAAGGTCTATGCTATTGGTGTAATGCTAAATACACCCCTGAGCATAGATGCATGAAATCCCAATTATATTAGTTGATAACTGAGGGTTGCGAGGAGGAGGGAGAATTAGAGTTCTCTGACTATATTGACACCACTGAGGGACTGATAGTAGAAAATGGAGAAAAGAACCAAGCTAAAATATCCTTGCATGCTATGTTAGGAATCTCTGGATATCAAACCATGAAAGTCAAGGAGTCATCAAGAAACATACCTTGGTTATCTCGATTGACTTAGGAAGCACCCATAATTTTGTAGATTTTACCATGGCTAAGAAATTGAAGTTACCTGTGTTTCAGTGCCATCAGATGGGCGTGACAGTGGCTAATGGACAAAATATGATTACCATGGGTTTATAGGAAAATTAAATGGTTTATACAGGGGATTGAATTCAACATAGACTTTATGGTTCTTCCATTAAAGGGTTGTGATGTGGTGCTAGGAGGACAGTGGCTAGTTATGTTAATACTAACATTATGGGACTTTATTGCATTAACTATACGGTTTAAACATGAGCAGAAATGGAGAATTATTAAAGGTATACAGTTAGGTGAAATACAATAGGAAGGTACCAGGCAAGCATTGAAGACACTTCAAACTTTGATAGTTGCCAATATCCAACAGCCATATGTTTTGATGATGGTTGGAATAGTTCATGTGTTATTAAACTCACACTGTTGTAGAAGATCCAAAACCCAGTGAAATTCATCCTTTGACTCAATTGTTAAAAAAATACAGTGATTTATTTCAAGTGCCTAAAGGATTATCACCTTGTGGACGACAACACCGTAAGATCCCACTGAAAGATGAAGGGCAAGTTGTTAGAGTCAAGCCTTATAGGTACCCAACCATTTCAAAAGATGAAATTGAAATCATGGTCAGGGAAATGCTTGAATGTGGCATCAAGAAATGGAGAACTATTAAAGGTATAGAATCAGGTGAAATATAATGGAGAGGTAATAGACAAGCATTGAAGACACTTCAAACTTTGATGGCTACCGATATCCAATAGCTATATGCTTTGATGATAGCTAAAGTTAGGTGTTGTTAAACACAAACATTGCTATAGAAGATCCAAAACTCAGTGGAAGTCATGCTTTGACTCAATTGTTAAAGAATTACAATGATTTATTTCAAGTGCTTAGGGGATTATCACTTTGTAAACCACAATAACATAAAATTCCCCTGAAGGATGAAGGGTTAGCTGTCTAAATCAAGCCTTATAGGTACCTAACCATTCAAAAAGATGAAAATGAGAGGATGGTTCAGGAAATGCTTGAATATGGTATCATTAGAGACATTAACATTTCATTTGCTTCTCCCATTGTAATGGTGAAGAAAAATGATGGTTCATAGAGAGTGTTTGTAGATTATAGGCAACTGAACCAGATGACTATTAAGAATAAATTTTCTATACCTATGGTAAAAGAATTGCTAGATGAACTTGCTGGGGTAGCATTTTTTTCCAAGCTAGATCTAAGATTGGATTATCACCAAGTCAAAATGCATGAAAGGGACATGCACAAGACTGTCTTTAGAATTCATGAAGGTTAGTATGAGTTTAGCATGAATTCTTGGTGATGCCATTTGGACTCACCAATGCTCTATTTAATTTTCAACAATTGATGAATTGCATCTTCAAACCTCACTTAAAAAAGTTTGTACTTGTGTTTTTCGATGATTTTTTGATATACTCTCCTAGTTTGGAAATTCATATGAATCATCTAGAAGTAATGTTTAAGATTCTCAAGGATAACCAAAATTTCTTCAAGCAAAGTAAATATGAATTTAGGGCTAAGGAGGTGGAGTATTTCGGGCATGTGATTACTGGTTTCGAGGTTGAAATGGATAAGAAAAAGGTTTAATGCATGCTTGAGTGGCCATAGCCTGGGAACCTTATAGTGTTAAGTGGCTTTCTAAGACTTGCGGGGTACTACAGAAGGTTCATCAAAGGTTATGGTACAATAGCTAAGCCTTTGATTGACATGTAAAAGAAGGATGCTTTTAATGGGGAGAGGTAGCTCAAAAGGCTTTTGATGATCTCAAAATTGCAATGACCGCAACTTCTTTTCAGCATTGCCATATTTTTCTAAGGAGTTTGTAGTGGAAACTGATGCTTCATGATGAGGAGTGAGGGTTGTTCTTACTCAAGGTGGTAGGCCCATAGCTTATTTTAGTAAGGCATTATCCCTTAAATATTAGGTTTTATCGATGTATGACAAGGAAATGTTGCCTGTGCTGTTAGCAGTAAAAAAATGGAATGCATATTTGGTGGGTAGACATTTCAAGATAAAAATTGATCATCAAAGCTTGAGGTTTTTATTAAATCAACAAACAATCACACTTGCCCAACAACTGTGGGTAGCCAAAATGATGGGATATAGTTATGAAATATATTACAAAAAGAGAACTTCCAATATTGTAGCTGACATGTTATCAAAGAAGCCTATGAAGATATAGGTTGTATTACCGGCTATCAGTTCAATGAGTACTGACCCTCTCACTAAGATCCAAGACTCGTGGGCTCAGGATCCCCATCTATATAAGTTGATATTAGATTTGCAATCTGTTGCAACAACTCTTGCCAAATTTACTTGGTTTAGTGGACTGTTAAGAAGAAAAGGGAAGCTTGTAGTGGGAAATGTCCTAAAGTTAAGGCAAAAGTTGCCGCACTATTTCCATGGAAGCCCTATAGGTGGCCATTTTGGAGTTCAATCCACTATGAGTAGAATTTCTAGGGTATTATATTAGAAGGGGTTAAAAAAAGAGGTAGGGAAAATGGTGAAGGAGTGCATTGTTTGCCAACAAAACAAATATGACATTGCAACTACATCAAGATTATTACAACCTTTACCAATACCAAAAAGGATTTGGCAGGACATCTCTATGAATTTATAGAAGAGTTGCCTAAATCTAGAGGTAAGAATACTATAATGGTTGTTGTTGATAGACAGAGTAAATATGCTCATTTCATTTCTTTGGCACATCTTTTTTCTACCTTGTACATAGCTAAAATCTTCATGGATCAAGTCTAAAAGTTGCATGGCATGCCTAATAGTATTGTGTTTGATAGGGATCGAATCTTCATGAATCAATTCTAGCAAGAACTTTTCAAGAGGCAAGGCACTTCTTTAAAAATATCCCTTGCCAATCATCCCCAATTCGATGGCCAGACTGAAATGGTCAATAGATGCTTGGAATCCTATCTAAGATGCATGTCTAGTGAAAAAAGCCTAGAGAATGGAGTCATTGGCTAGCACTGGCTGAGTGGTTGTACACACTATCTATCACGCTACTATTCACACAACTCCTTATGAATTTGTATATGGTCAACCACCACAAGTTCATCTTCCTTACTTAATTGGTGACTCATTAGTGGAATCAATGGACAGGAGCTTAAATGCCATGGAAGCTACCATTACAAGATAAAAGAAGAAGTGCTAGATCTTTTAAGGTGGGAGGTTAGGTCTATTTGAAGCTTCAACCATATATACAATGATTTGTTGTCTAGAGAAGTTGCCTCAAACTGTCAGCCAGATATTTTGGACCTTACCTCTTTTTGGAGAAAGTTGGCAAGGTGGCTAGCTTATAGATTACAGTTTCTTTAGGTTCTAAGGTGCACTCTACATTTTATGTCTTTTAATTTAATAAACAAGTTGGTAAACAGCTTACTTAGCATCAACTACCTGTTATTGGGGATGATGGAACTACAGCCAAAGAACCTTTGAAAATCATAGGCAGAAGGCTTGGGAAAAAAGGAAATCGAGCTGTAATTGAAGTAGTGATACAATGGACCAATTCCTTTTGAGAGATGCAACATGGGAAGTCCTCTATGAGTTTGATCAAAATTATCCCAGCTTTAATCGTTGAGGACAAGGATTTGCTTGATTAGGCGAGTATTGTTATGTGCCTTAATCGAATTAGCATTTTATTTTTATGTTTTAGGCCATCAGCCGCTAGTCCAATTTATATTCCACTTATGTTAATAATTAGCCTGGTAATGATGATTTAGTTATTTTGGTATTCGTGTGAGTCAATTAAGGGTACAAAATGAGGTCAATATGCTGGCAATGAGTTGTCATGTTCTCTCTCAATTCTCTTCCTTCCGCTCTTTCTTTTAAGCTTTTCTCTTCTACAAATTTAATCAGTATCATTTTTCTAGAATTAAGAAAAATGCTTTTGTGATTTTATAGTTACCTAATTTTCAAATTCAAAAGAAATAAGCTATTCAAAAGAAAAATAATATATTTGTTTTGTGATTTAAGATTAAAGAATTTTAGATAAAAAAAAATCGAAGTTTAAGATTTAATATTTAGCAAATTTGAAATTTAAATTTTAATACTTATATTTTTTTATGTTTAAATTATAATATCTATTGTGAGCAAAATTTATTATAAATTTTTAACTTTTTGATTCAGAATATAAAAAAAAAAAAAATTCATACTAAACAATGTAACGAGCAATGATCATATAAATTTCAGAAATTAAGAAAGTTTTTTATTTTAAAAAGTTTTTCTATATAAACAAATATTCCTCCACTTTCTGATATACTATTTCATCAAATCTTTGGATAGATTTGATGATTAGGATTCTAATTTAGGAAGTGCATGTTCGCCTCCTAATTAGTATCTCCAAAACCTTTGATAAAGACACAATTTTCTCACTTTTTGTAATAACCATATAGGTCACATGAATAACCATTTCAAAATGAAAAAATAAAAACTCATTTTTGGGAAGAAAGTGGAAAAGGGAAATTTAAGTCAAAGTTAAGGTAGCTGAAATTAAATTTTTTTTTTTTTTGGATATTATTAAATTATGTGATAATCAATAATCTTATTTTTAAGATACGATCTTTTTTATAAAAAAAATTTGGTTTAAATGAAATTAAATAGATGATAATGTTGTGGAAACACTTTTTATTATATATTTCAAATAAATATGTTAATTTTTTTTTTCAAAAATGGTTTGTTTAATTGATAAAATAAATATATTTCTTTTTTCATAAAAAATAAAATTTCTTATTTTTTTCCTTTAAAAGGAGATAATGGGAAAAAAATACTATTAGTTGGAGCTGAGACAGAAAAATAATGAATTTTTATTTTATTTTTTTGGAAAAGACAAATGGCTCATGTTAGCAGAGAACTACCAAGGAATTCTAACGTGCACTAGCAAGTTCGGGTTTAAGAAAAACCTTAAAAAATCACCAGATTAATTTAAAAATATAGATAAAAAATAAAACAGGGTTTCCGGTTTCAATATTCAAAGCGTACATCTATAAACGGGACTCTTACTGCGCACACAAACTCCAAGCAATAAAACAAATTTCAAACGCAAACAGAAGTTACAAACCAAAGTAAAAAAACTACCTCAAATTTTCTCTTCAAAACCACCCGAAGAAGAAAAGAAACTACCAAAACAAAAGCAAAAACAAAAAGAGAAGGCAAAAGTTAAAGGAGCCCATAATCTGTTACTGCATGTAAAAGGAGAAATAATTTCAATGGATCTCAATGATTACACTATCATCAAGGAAGGAGAAGCTGAGATTCTTATGCATGCTAAAAATGAAGTCTTTTACAACAAAACCCAGGTTTGAAGTTTGCTTCTTTTTTTTTGTTTTGTTTTTTTTTTTTTTTTTTTTTATTGAATTCATTGTTGGAATTATATGGCTTTTTTCTTTTTAGTTGATGGGTAGCTTTTGGTTTATTAAAAAGTTATCTTTATTGTGATGAGTTGTCTGTTTTAAGAGAAACTAATTATGGCTTTTGTATGAAAAATTGGTTGAACTGATGGGCAGTGACAATTTGAATGAATTCATGGCTTTTGTGGTTAGATTTTTTATGTTTTAGTTAATTGGAAGATTTTTTTTTTGATTAAAACGTTTTATATTTTTTATGATTTATTGTTGGAAAGACTCTGCTCGGGGGGTCTTCTAAATTAAGCTTTGTTTGGCAAATGTTAACTCTTTGGCCGGTAGTGTGAACTAATGGCGCAGTGATTGGCTGCTGAGAATGGGTGGGAAAAGAAAGGAACTGAAAATTTTCTCTATGTACTGCTTTCACTGAAAACATTTATACTCTTTTTTTTTAAGCTTTGAGTGGGATATTGTTTACTCTGCAGTATAAATTGTAGAGTTAGTTGTTTGCTTGTTCTTATTCACTAGTTGAGGATCCTAACTGTTTACTATAATATAATCAGGTTAACAACAGAGACATGTCCATTGCCGTCCTGAGGACATTGATTTCAAGACGGAAGCAGGAACACGAGGCATTGTTGTCTAAAAGAAACAAATCAGCACCAAAGGTGCCTGAGAAGAGTGGTTCTATATCTGAATTAGAAGATAAACCTAATGACTCTGGTATGAATTATGAAAAATCAAATGAAGATTGTGAAGGGCCTGAAGAGAAATCTCAAGAAGAACCATGTACTACTTCAGAAGAACCAGTTAAGACAGGGGGAAAAGTTCGAGGGAAGCTCAAACCACCAAGAGTTCTAGAGGTTTTTCCACAATCTTCTGTTTCCCATATAAATTTATATGCTTTTTCCCCCAATGCAGGTCATGTCATTTTCTGAGTTCCTTTTCTGGTGATTTATAGGCCTTGTCAGCATCTGGGTTAAGGGCTCTGAGATATGCTCGGGAAGTAGAAGGGATTGGTCAAGTTGTTGCTTTAGACAATGATAAAGGTACTATAGATGTACCGATGTTCTGGATGTATATTTATGTTAATTGAAGAATCATTTTGGATCAAGGGAGGACCTGTAGTTTTTACCTTTCTGGTTCTTATGCATATTCATGCTTTATATTACTAGATACAAACATATTTTACCTATATAGTTTACTCGCTGCTTATATTTACCAATACTGTGTTCTACTTGCAGGGGCAGTTGAAGCTTGCCAGAGAAACATAAAGTTCAATGGTTCTGTAGCATTTTCAAAAGTGGAATCACATCTTGCTGATGCTCGTGTATACATGCTTACCCACCCAAAAGAATTTGATGTGGTATGACATCTGCTATTAGATACTTTAAATTAACTGTTTTGCTGCAAGGGAATTTCACTGATATGCATATCCAGTTAATGCTTTAAATCAAACATTGTAGAACATTTCCATTTTCTATGGAAATAGTTCTTATTATGCATTCATTTTATGTCAAAACCACTTTATACTTAGTAAAAGAAAAGTTTATTAATCATTTGGGAATTTGTAGGTCATTTCTGTCATTTGTTATCCAAATATCATGATTAATGGGCAACATTTATTGTTTCTTGGTGGCACTATTCAAGGGAGCCATGCTTATGCTCCTTATTGCTAAATTTGTGTTTCAGGTTGATCTTGATCCTTATGGTTCACCTTCTGTGTTCCTGGACTCTGCAGTTCAATCTGTTGTTGATGGTGGCATGCTGATGTGCACTGCAACTGATATGGCAGTCCTGTGTGGGGGTAATGGGGAGGTTTGCTATTCCAAGTAAGATTGTAGTACCTTGACCTTCATTTGAACTATGATTTTGAATATTTTAGCTCATCTTTAACTGCTTGTGGAAACAGATATGGATCATACCCATTGAGAGGGAAATATTGCCACGAAATGGCATTGAGGATCCTCTTAGCGTGCATTGAGGTAGTTTCATGTCCTTCAGAAAGCATGTTCTTTTAGCATTCGAAACAGATTAGATAGTGTATGCAAATGCAAATCTTGCTCTGTTGCAAAAGGAATGTGGGATCTAGGATCTTTTATTCTTTCACTTGCATAACTTCTAATTTATAAAGGATATTTTAAAAGATAACTGCAACTGTATCACCTTGTCTTAGAAATGCATTCTTTTAAACAATATACTTTCTTGCAGAAAGCTTTCTTTTAGAATTGAATTCTAATAACAATCTTCGTATCTGGCATAATTGTTATTTCTTCTTTCTTGAATACAGAGTCATGCAAACCGGTACAAACGTTATATTGTTCCTGTGCTATCTGTCCAGATGGACTTTTATGTCCGTGTTTTTGTTCGTGTATACTCGTAGGTGGCCTATTGTTTTAATTTAGTTTATTAAAGTAAATGTTACTCTCACATAATGATGACGGAAGGGCTATTGATTCGATGCAGTTCAGCAAGTGCGATGAAGAATACTCCCCTTAAGCTCTCTTATGTCTATCAATGCACTGGTTGTGATTCTTTTCATCTACAGCCTATTGGGAGAACTGTTTCTAAGGTGTGCTTTCTGATTTATAATGCCATTGGTGTTTCTAATTTGTTTTTAACATGCACATGGCTTACACCTTTTGTGTTTCCACATAGTGGAGTCATAATTTAGGTGCACATCTGAACTCCTTAAGAGAACATTCCAATATCTGGGCATGCAATTGGTTAGTGTTGCTATTGGTGACATGTTCATGCCACTAGGAGATTTTATAGAGTTTGGATGATTTTAGAATTTTTCATCTGACTTCTGTCAGCAGACTGCTCACAGTTTTGTTTGTGGCTGTGTTTTTGGCTGTTGTTCATAACCTTTTATATGATTATCATGTTCACTGATGGTGATCTGATGTAGTTGCATCAGATTTTCTTTATTTATACTCTCATATGCTAATTTATCCTTTTCCCTGGATGCCTGTTTCCAATATTTTCTTGTGGTTGGAGCTTTGACAAATGATGCAACTTTGTGCATGTTAATAATGGACCAGTAAAGTTAATTTATTTTAGATAAAGATATTTGGTGCCTTTTCCATCTGAATTAATGGAAGCTTATTCTTACTTTTTCTTACATGGAGTATAATTTCAAGGTTTAGACATAATTAAAAGAAATGTATCAAAGTTATTTTATTATACGACGAGCATAATGACATTTTAAAGATGGACCAAAGGGTTTATTATGTAATTTTTTCAGTAACATCTGTGTTTTATGCATCAAAAACCATTATTCTTGATGTAGCTTAATTTTGAATTGGACAATATTTTGATCTTGCATCCTCCTTCCTATTTCCAGAATACCAGTGTGAGGTATCTCCCGGGCTTTGCTCCTGTTGTCCCTCAAGAGTGTAGTGATTGTGGGAAGAAATTTAACATGGGTGGGCCTATATGGTCTGCCCCCATCCATGATCAAGATTGGGTAACTAACATACTAGCTGATGTAAAATCAATGAAGGATCATTATCCTGCCTATGATCGCATCTTTGCGGTATTGACTACAATTTCAGAGGTATGCATTTTTCCTTAATACTTTTTTTTGGGTGTTCATCTTTTGAACCTTAGAACATAGTTCCCGTCAGGTTTTATTTCAATAACTGTGAGCCATCCCATTTTCTATGACAATAATAAAATATAAAACCAAGACTCAATACAATTGCATCTTGACTCAAATATTTCCAATGTGAAAGTGTAAGCTAAAATCTTTCAGAGAAACATGCCATTAGATATACGATGGTTATGTAAATTGTTTGTAACTATCAGATGGTGAACTTTCATGGAATATATATGTCTAAACCTATTAAAAGTACAGAGTTCTACTATTTTTAGAGATTTTCTATTTTCTTTACCTGGATTTTTTTGTAGGAATTGCCTGATGTTCCTCTCTTTTTGAGTTTGCACAACCTCTGTGCTACGCTGAAATGCACTTCCCCATCCGCAATTATTTTCCGCTCTGCTGTGATCAATGCAGGATATCGAATTTCAGGAACTCATGTGAATCCATTGGGACTAAAATCAGATGCTCCCATGGATGTCATTTGGGACATAATGCGCTGCTGGGTAAGGGCTTTTTTCTGTTTTTTCTCTATTTCCTTAATTTTATGGGGGTGTGCACACTGAAGAAAGTTCAAACAAGTAAACTTTGATTAGACCAAATTCCTCAACATCCCATGCACTAATTTGGTTAAGAGACGTGTGATGAAATGGTTTCATAAGTTTTTGTCTTCTCTATAGGTTAAAATTCATCCAGTTAAAGCTCAACCAGCTGATCAGCCGGGGAGTGTGATTCTTGCCAAAGAACCAGTTCTTCATGTATGTTTTCCATGCTACTTTCTTTAGTTGCATACTGATTCCCCCGTATCCCCAATCCTCTGTGTCCTTGTTTCATGTTCCATATGTGAATAGATGCATTCTCCAAAATAAACATGCTTGTATACAAGTTGAGATTAAAGGTGGGAAAGTTCATTTAACACCCCACAACCCCCACTTCTTTTTGGCAGGCAAATTTTGCTCGAGCTGTTGCATCCCTGAGCAAGGCACAAGCTAAGAAGGTTGCTCGCTTCCTTCCAAATCCTGAAAGGCACTGGGGGCCAAAGCTTAGGGCAGGTCGCCAAATCACCAGTAAGCACATTTCTCTTTTGGGTGAAGAAGCAGTAAATGGATGTCTCAGCCATGAAGATAGTGAGCGTGATGCCAAACGCCAAAGGACTGAAAAGATGGAGGATGGTACTGCAGAATCATAGATTAGGTAAGTCAAGCCAAGCTGGCATAAATATTATTTTACTGCCTCATTACCTAAAATATGTCATGGTTTGAGGTTGGAATTCATGGTAGTGCAACCATAATCAATTTTGCAAAATGCAATTTCTGTTTGAAAACTATTCAAATCTTGAAGCAATTAATTGCAGTTTTGTGGTCCTGGAAATCAGATGTAGGATACTATTTATTTGATCTTAATATAGTTTATTGTGTTGCTAACTTGTTCCACTCTTTGGCAGTCTTTTTTTTTTTTATCACATGATCTGTCAAAGTGTTGATTTATCCGTTACACCTTTCACATTTGCATTCTAAATCTAGTAGAATTTTGAAAGATCATAGCTTTTTATAAGGAAAAATTGTAGTATAGTGGTAAGAATTTCCATCTATCACTTTGATGACCCAGTTCGATGAAGCATAGTGTTAAGTATTTCCACGTGCCTGCACGCAGATGACCAGGCTCAATCCTTGGCAAGTGCGGATTATGTCTTTCTAAATTTTGCACAAGACAAAACCAAGCTAAACTTCTGCACTAAAGTAAAAAGTCCTCTAGTTTGGAGTTGATGAATTAGCCTTTCTGGTCGGTTCGCCAAGAGTATGAAGTAAATAAAAAGTCATGCAATTGGTATCAAACATAGTTTCATGTGCATTTTCAGTCCCATGCTACAACAAATACATACATTCTACTAAAGACAATGAATCATTTGATGATTAATACACATAAAATGGCAATTTTTACCAAAGAAATGTCAATTGAGTTCCCGAGCACATCAAGAAGCTTGCATGAATTATTGTTCCTGCACAAAATAGTTGGTTATAGTCTGTAGCATAAGATCTAATAATATCCTTGGTTTAACTACGATATCAGCAATTCAACTAGTAAACTCACATTTAGAGTACTGATTACTCAGAGAATCCTAAAAATCACTGATCTAAAAATGAAAAACAAAACCAGCAACATTTCCTTTCTTTCCAGAAATTGCATGTTTTGGGTGAACTTTGACTAATTCTTCTGTAGATTTCCTTTCCTGGGAATCAGTTGTCCTCAACGGGCTGATTTGTGTCAGCATAAACCACCTGGTTCCCATTCCAACACAGCATCCGATTCCTGGACGCACCATTTTCAAACAAAATCAAACCGTCTTTTTTATTGTAGTAGCTTTATTTGGGGTTTTGGACAAAAAATGAAACTTACAGATAGAATATAAACCTTCCTTCCTGGACGACTCGGGTTGGTAATGCAACCATAACCTGAAAATTTCAAGTGTAAGACAAAAAATATGTTAATATTATTCAACGGATAAAGGACATGGATATACAGTTTAGTAATCAATCCCTAAACAAAACCAAGAGTGATAAATTCAGTGCACAAAAATTTACAAATTTCTGGCCAAGGTTGCTGCGGCATTCATTGCAATACACATCCACCACCGGATGACGATGGAGAAGCCGAAAAGATTCTACATCATCGGCCAGCACATTGACACTATATATCAAACACACATGATCAAATTATAATCACATTAACTTAATTACATAATGCTGGGAATATCATCTAGAGAAATTCAGCCCCATTAAGCAACAAATGAAACGTAGTTCGAGTCAATCCAATTAGATGTATCTTACGGATTTTGGCAGATGATTGCATTCAACTCTAGGTCCTGAAAATTGATTGAAAATACGCAGTGAGAAAGATTTGCCGAGTATTTTTTTTTTTTTAAGTATTCTTGCAAGCACATACAATTAAGCCCTCAAAAGAAAAGCAGTAACAATTCAAGAAGTTGATCCACTAAGCTTCCTTCCTATAATTCTTGACATAAAAGAATACAAATAACTGTCGAAGTATTGGTGATAAAAACAGATTCTTGATATCTCGGTGAAGCACAACCATGGTTTCCAGGAAGTTCTTTAAGATTTTGCAAAGAATTGTTACCTTGTAAAGGCGGTTTTCTGAGGACAGGACATGGTTTCTGCAAGTAAGGCTACGGCACATGTAGAAACTAGTGTTGGGAGTTTGAACAAATCTAATGGGTTGGTTTGCAGCAGGCTCCTGATCCATTGCAATCTTGGTTGATGAAAGACCTTTAGGAAAATGAACTAGCACTTTGAAACAATTGCCATACAAAAATGAAACAGTCAAAGTAAGATTATAATGTTGAGGAATATGGAAATAGATAAAAAGAGAAAAAAATTTAAGGTCATTGATTGAGAGTTTATACCAGTTATGAACGTCTAAAATGGGGTTTAACAGAGGGAGATTCTTGGCAGAGAAAAAGTGAGGGAGGAAGGGAGAAAATAAATGGAAATGGGTTTTTTATAGAGAATATGATAGGTTCAGTTTTCAGTTATAACTGCCAGACTGAAAGGGACTTCCCGTTAAAACACAGCTAAAAGCTTCAAACAGTGAAAATAAATGAAAACATAGTGTAAATTGGTTTGACTACTGACTCAAGGTCGGAGGTTATTTTTGCAGTTGCATGAAGTTAAAATCTCAGGATTTTATCCATCTTCAGCCTTATACTATATTCAACATTGTAATTGAACTCCTATTGTTTCCTGAATGCAGTTACAAGATCATCTTGAATTCATTTCTGAAAGATCTTTCATCAACCAAGGCTGCAATTACTTGCAATGGAGGGATCCTCAAATGTCATAAAAAAGTTTGATATAACTCCAGAAGCTCCTTTCTGTGTCTGCCATAGATGTACTACCCACATTGTGTCCATGTAACACTACATTTTCAAGGTAAGAACTCTTTCTCCATTTCTTTGCCTAATTAATATTCTTTCATGAATGCCATGTTTCGGGGATAACATGCTCATTCCAATTTGACACCTTCACTTGTGAGTTTCAATGAATCACTCTTTACTTTGCAAATCAAGAATGATATATAGAAAGGTCTTTTTTCCTCTTTACTGGTACTTGAACTGTTCTTGATGATCTTTTTATGGTTTTTTTTTTCAATTTTTTTAGTGAACTGTTTTTTTTTTTTGGTAATTATAAAGAAACTCATTGTTTAATGTTATTGAACTTTTATATATATATATATATATATATATATGGAAGTTGTCAGAAATTTATTAGAAGTATATTACACAAATTTACTTTGATGGAAATGTAGAGCTGATAACATTTCTGCATATATTGAAGATTCAACTTCTTTACAGAACTAGTTGTGATTCAATCTAATTTGCAACTAGTATAATGTAATTTGAAGGAAAGAAAATAATCAAATGTGAAGTTGTTTTTCTTTGAACTTGAAAAGTATACCTTAGTTAGTTCATACCACCCTTATGAAATAGCACTCAACATGTTTGAGTTTCAAATCTTAGCACTGCAACTGCTTCCCTTATCCTCAGGCTGCATCACTTTTGTACAAAAAAAAAAAAACGTAAGCTTATGAGTTATGACTGGAAATAAATACTATAATTGAAAACTTTAAGAAAATTACAAATGTTTCTCATTGTAGTGCATTGGAACACTGATGTTTTAGTAGGCAGTAGGCAATCCCGTGGCCAAACTACTATTTTTAATCCAATTTTCAGGATAAATGGCTTGAGGGAAAGCGGATCATCTTCAAGAATCCGTAAGATATATATTAGTTGGACACAGTCAACGAAATTCATGAAGAAACCCTTTTTCACCTTCTCTATAACTTTAGCTTCGAGAATCAGTAAGATATATATTTCGTTCCAATCATGTGTTCGACATGTAGTGTCAACCTGCTGATCATCGATAGCTCGGAACTTCATAAGAGGATTGGTAACCGCACAGGGCGTTGCACTGGACGTAAGATGTATCTAGCTAGGCAAGAAATTCGCAATTAAGTTCTTTACACGTCTCTTTATCCCTTCATTCCTAGAATAAAATCACTTATTTTTACTAAATACGGATAATATTCAGGTTCATGTGGAATCACCAAACAGAGTTCTGAGGGAAGGAAGAATTCTACTCAAATTATTTTTCAACGTTGAATTCTATTCCAAATAAAGCTACTAGTACAAAAATTTCTGCTGGTATCGACTCAAAATCATGGGGTGCAGGAACAGGCTATTGTATTGGGATGGAAATAAAATGCTATATGCTGACACGGACAATCCATTGGAGAAGAATTGAACGACCATGACAATGGATATTCAAGGAAAAGAATGTCATTTCTGGTTAGGATTCTAGCTTGTTCTCCCTTTCACTTAGTTTATCCATGATGCTTTCACCTCCAACATACTATTGAGGAATTGCATTAGTTCATATATATCTGACATTTAGACTTTGCTTGGTCTGAAAGATACAAAAGGTTAAGGATTTTTTTTATATATAAGAACCCGTAGCTTAGGGGTATAGAAAAGGGTTACAGGTATTGGGATATAAACTCTAGACCTACTGAATGCACTTCTTAAAAGTGACCGTATGAATTAACTGAGCTAAACTCCAGGTTCAGAGTTAAAGATTGAATAGTAACTAATTCAGTGGTTAAGCTAATCATTAAGCAAAGCCTTAAATGATTCATATTTGTTTGACATTACCTTTTGGCAAAGTGGTCAGGTACTTAAAACGAGAGGTAAAGATTTTTGTAGGTTTGCAATTCAACCCTTTACTGCTCAAACCGGACCAACCAACCATGGAGAAAAGAATGATAGAATGCCCATTTACTTGTATTTGCTTCAATCTAAATATCTCCTCTTGAGGTTTATTCTCAAGGAGGGGAAACTTTTTCTAGCAGAGCAAAAGTATTTCAGTTGGCAACTCTTATCCCTCCATTCGCATAGGATCCATGACATGTTTGTTAGCCTTTCAAGGCTAAGCGAAAGCCAACATCAAGCTGCAATGACAGCTGATTCTTAGCAGAGAAAACATGCATGAACCAGACCACACAATTTGCAAAAATTTTTGAAGATACTAAGGGATCTCTATAGGAGATTTCCCACGAGGACAGTGAACCACAACTTGAGCTTAAATTTGGGCTTTTTCCCATTCAAAATTCCAAAAAAAGGAATGCATTTTATTACAAACTGGAAGTAATGATGAATCAACTAATGCATTTTATTGTTGTAACTTCATAACGTAAAGTTAATAAATTACTTTACATCCCGCCAAAATCTAGTGAGGAAGAAGACAAATAAATAAAGGTACAATACAAGAAAAGAAAACTATTAATTCATTAACTGTAGGGAAATAATGGCCCCTGTGGCTAATGGAGTTTTTCTACTTTGCTTTGCCA